TTGGTAATGTTAGTATAAAGTGCGATTTATACAAGTTTTTGCTATTAAATTTATCGTTGCTATTTTTATTATTTAACGACCGATGTCATAGTTGTGTTTTGATGATTAATACCGCTAATTGTTTTATGGTGTCTTGTTCAATTTGTTTTGGTGGTAAACTAATGTTGGCGAAGATACGACAAGGGTGCGTACTATACATAGGGGGGGGGGACATATTTAATCAGACTACCAGACCGAGATAACAGCCAAAACCCTAGAGGGAAATCAATTATGGTTTGTTGTCGGATGTCTTGAAATGCCGCCAAAGCTTGTGTACTCGTGTATGTGACCCTTTGTAATAGATGTACGTACATTTCCCGTGCCGAGGTAAATCTTGAAAAGCGTGCTGCTCATCTCTGTAAAGATGTCTTTTTATGATAACTGATCGTCTGGACGTGTCATCAGGTAGCGTAAACGAGTTTTGTATTATGACCAGTCTTATTACTGTTCTCAGTCTTGTATGTGTAATACTTGGTACAACTAATAGCTTTTTACCAAATTTTCCATTTCTATCTCTGGTTACTCATACAATTTCGGGGGCTCGGATCAATACAAGACTGCGTGAGTCATAATTTTTGCGAACAACATTCGGTGCACTAGCATATCGGCATTGAATTTGCGCAAGGTCGTGATATGATTTTTACACGGTGATTCATAAATAATAACAATGTGCTTAACAAAACATAGGTACCGCTTCCGAAAAATAATATGATACAACGTCGTGTTAAAGTAAGAGTTGGGCATTTTATATTTCTAATAACGAATGACAAAAATAGTTTAATAAAATCTCAAATAAGTTTTTGAATTTTGTCAACAATAAAATAATTAGCCTAAAAAGAATAAAATACAAAAAAAAACCTCATAATAAATCATTTAATCGGTTTTTTTTATTCGAATCAAAAAACTATTCGTCAGTCTTTCGAAAAATTATCTAAATATTGCCGAACTACGTTTTTAGTATTAATAATAATTTTGGGGTAATCGTTTGTAAACATGAACATTTGTAACAGTAGTGACGTTTTTTTTTTTTGGCGTGTCGTTTATGAATTATGATTTTTTTATTGTATAATTTTAAACGACTATGTTGAATGAGTGAAATCTAATTTAATTATCAATAGTTAAATACTAGTATACGGTTTTGATTATAACGTTAAGGCCTTTGGATGATTTCATAGTTCCAGCAATTATTTAATAAGCATTTATTATTTATTTTTTTAAATTAATAGCCTCGTTGCATTACTACTATTAACTCGATTGACCACATCAAGTAATGTTATATATGAGTACACTTACTTTTTCCCGTTTAGGGGGTGACCTATGTCGGTTTATCGTGCTATACATTTTTGCTATAAGTCTTCACTCGGTCTGTTGTAATGATACAACACAGCTCATTTGTCGAACCATAGCCCATAACTCACTATCACTTCAAATTGAAAACGATGTGATATCGCCTATTCTTAATCGAGGGATTTCTAACAGTTAATTGCAATACCGCTGCTGTAATGAAATGTATTCCTACTGATAATGTAGTACTGTGCTCGGTGCGCGAGTTTTGATTGCTTAGAAATCATCAAACGAGCATTTTACATGTACGATTCGAAAGTAAAAGTATGATTTTAATTTAGATAGCTATCTACGATTGTTGTGGCCTGTGGCAGTGGTGTCGTCAATTCATAAAAATAAAGCATGCGAACACCACGCGACTTTCAAGTGTCTGTCCGACTGTAGTAGTGGTTGTACTCGGCAGAACGGTATAATCAATACGTCATGTAGATGTGTATGATATAAAACGATAAATGAGTCATTCTCGCCGTAGTGGCGACTACCATAGCAGAGGGTCGCCGGTTTGTACACTGTTGAAAACCGGCGGCAACGGCGATGAGTCACAGACGGCTTTCCTATTAGTCCTGCGGGGCAGCGGCAGACGAGAAGGGAGAAAGTGTGCTTGTGCGTGTGTGCGTATACCGTTATGATGTTTTACAGATAATGATATATTCATTGAAACAAATGACGAAATTAAAGTAGTGGATCAATTTACATATTATAACGCGGGCGTTCAAACGAAATTATTATTTTTTTTTTTACTTTAACCTTACCCATTCACTTTAACGGTCGCCGTCTTCTCTCCCCGTTTGTTTGCCGTCGGACTTCTCAAGTGTTGCATATTAAGCACTCGAAAACTGTTTGCTTTCCGTTCAGTTTCTGTGTTAATTTTATCGAAAAACAATTTGAATTTGTGTTTTACTTCTAGTTGACTTTAGATAGCGTATTGTTTATCCTTCGCCACTCGCTGAAGAAATGCATGCTAATCATTCTATTATTACTGTGTGCGCGTATAGCTTTTGTACACACATTACGCTCATTAGTCTGATATTTGATAGTAAAATTTATTTTTCTATTCGTTTTTGTATTTAGGACACACAAATAATAGGTAAGCATAAAAAACAAGATAAAAATAGGTGTTTTGCAGTTTTAAAACTTATAAGTATAGTTACTATTATAATCCCTTGCCGTTAATTCAATGGTTGTCATGATCGAACCTCATGCTTCATATACATAGGTTTTGTTTAGATGATTTAGCGCATCTCTAATCTAATAACTAATAATATGGCCATGTTATGATTTTTGTTTACAAGCTCATCGATATTAATAACCTACAATGAACCCTCGAATATTTTTATTTATCACTCATTTGTCATCAAACATTATTACCCTAATATTCCTTACCGATAGTCGATTGTTATTAAGATCGGTATAGTTACTCTCTTTTGATCAAGTTATGACACTAATTCAACATTATTTTGGTATAAACAAACTTATTTTGAAAATCCTATAACAGATTATTATAAGAATTATAAACATATTTCATTTCTTTTCGTTTTTTATTTTAACATTGTTTAACATTTCGACCTTGGCTCTACGTAATGTTTTTTTTAGTCTGTTATTAATGACCGGGGAATGATAATGACCACGTTCATACATACGTCTATTGTGTTATATAAATCTTGTTCATTGATTATTCAACGTTGGATATGGATGCTTTTATCAGGTCGACCGTTCATACTTCTATTAATCAACTATTTATATGCATATCTAATATTATTGTTTTGCAAAAAAATCAATTGTTTATTTATTTTAGTAATAATGAAACCTCTTCAAATAATTTATACATGTATGTATGTTGTTATTATAGTTTAATATAATAGGTATGTTACAGAATATTCGGTATAGTTCCCCTATTATCGACTACGCCCGATCGGAAATTAATAGCTCCGTCATCAATTCCATTGAGCCATTTAAAGTTTTATTTTTATTGAAACAAAATCCGTTTAGTGGTTGTGTTGTGACTCATGGTGTGTTTCGTGAACGGAGCGAAGAATAATATAGCTAATTGTAGTGACGAATATACTAATAGAATAACAGTACAACACCAACTGGATGTCATTAAATCAAATGTGTTGTTCATAAGCGCGCTTTGTGTAACGTTATGCTCGCATTGTAACTAATGTAATACATTAGTTTTTTTTATGTGAATTACAAATAGCGCAAACGATCCGCATACTTAAAATGTTTTGTTTTATTGTATTTAAACTAAAGCGCTTAGAAGGGGGCAGGGAGTACTAGGAAAATAATGAAAACAAACGACTTGGCTCATCTAGTAATATATTTAGTAAATGTATTATTTACGACAGCTGCGTGAAAATTCTTTACGCTCAATCGTTAACAAAAAAAAAGCCACATCGTAGTTGGTCGGTCGTAAAATTAAAAAAACGTTGAGAAACCATTCCAAGACGCAGAAAATTATTCACCGTGTAACATATGATATTATTGGGCGTGTAAACTCGTACATATCCGGTGTTGGTTTCCTGTTATCAAGTAGAAAACATGTATTCCGAACCTCCCAATCGGTTGTAATGTCTAATTAAAACGCAATTACGACGACTTTGTGATTCGGAACACTCGATAAACATTTTTTTTTGTTGTAAGTAAAGTAGACACTAGTCGTCTTACGTAAATTGGTTATTATTCATAAATATATAGTTTTATACAAATGAAAACATTCGGGCGTGTCTGTCGGCGGCGATAGATTTTAATTGTTATTAATACTGTTAGCGACGGTTATTTGTGTTTGTCAATAATATATATTAGAAATAACAAGAGTACCGCCGCCGCATAGTTGTGCGTTTAATCATCTTTTAATCTTAACTGGTCCTCTTCAATGACGACTCACGTGCCTAAACTCGACCGGTGTTAAGTACTTACAGTCGGTAGCCCAAGGGCACACCCGGGGGAGAGGGGATACATTCGATTGTGTTGTGGGACTGTGCAAGTCGCATTCTCGCCTAATAACATGCGACGACGGTCTCTAAAGTGAATCAATCGCGCGCCACAGTCGTCTTCCCGTTTAAATAATACAAGTTAAATCACGTTCCAGTGACGTTTCTCTTGGCTCCTTCTCGATAACAATTACTAGCGTGTAATAATAATATTGCTTATCCGACAAATTTTCATATAGAAAAACAAAAAATGTCCCTTCAATACAATTATATCGAGTACTTTACTCGATATAATTCAATATAATCAACAAATCTCTCACTGTCCGCCTAGCTCTCTTTCTCCGTTGCTGTCTCTATCCCAGTGATCAACCTAGGTCGAGTAGACGTGCATAAATCAAGACCGATTGTTAAAAACTGTTGGCCGCCAGTACAGTATTATTTTATTAATTATAATTATTTTAAAAGAACGAATTCCCCGCCGATAAGTGAAGTATTCGCCGTGCCCTGTGCGTGTGTGTATAGATAAGACCCGCCGTCTCTTGGTTGTATGTCTATGTATATAATTACAAATTTATTATGTACGTATATTGTAATGTTGTTTATCCACGACACCGCGGCGGCGGTTGGTGGGGCTAAAACGATAATGATAACTAATTTTGCTTTTTTTCTTTTTGTTTGTTTCAGACGAGCCAAACGTTGACACAAGAGTGTGTGCGACAACACTATAGTGAACGTGCGCTTATTTCAAACATCGTACAGTGTGATTTTCTGTTGTTAAAACATAATTAGTTGTTGTTTTTTTTTTAAATTGTAATTTCGACGAATTTAACTTACTCGTAAGAACAAAATAAAATATGGGAGCCAGACAGAGCAAAAGGTCGGTAGACATATCCGCGGGGGCCACCAAGGCCGAAAAAGGACCAGCCGGCGAACCTTTGGAAAACGGTACCATTACGGCAGCATCCACCGATGAGAAACAAGCGGTCGAAGCTAATGGTACTGCCGAGGAAACGCCAAAACAAAATGGATCAACACCGCATGTCAACGAAAAGGTAATATTTAAAAATTAAGTTAATAATGTTGTTTTAGTCGGTCTGACATTAAATACAAATCCCGTGTCTCTATAGAAACCATCTACCGGCGGATAAAGTAGACATTTATTTTTTTATAACCTTTAAACTGTCTTGTAGTCGACATCTGTAATGGAGGGAAAATGACGTGAGCGAGAAAAATGCTATACAATTAATAATTTTAAGTATATGTATGCAGTTAAGATTCCTTAAGAGAACGCTACAAACTTGGTTTTAGTTAGTTTTGTAATAACTTAAACAAAATTAAAATTATTCATTCGTAAAGAATAATTTTTTTCCCCATTTTTTATAAAAAAAATATGAAGTATAGATATTGAAAAAATAAAAATGTTACGGCGTAGATAAAAATTTTCTTAATACATAGCGAAAATTTGGTTAATCAACTGCATGCTAACATGCTTTTCCCGCACAAAGGTATTTTGACGGGGAAAAAATTATAAATTATCCTATAGAAATTACTGTGATAGTTAAAAATAAAAAAATGGAAATCAATAAAGAATCCTTATTATTGTATTGATACTTATGTTAGATCAAGCTCTAAATTAAGATTTTGCGAAAAATGTCTTAAACTTTACTCCTTAGAAATGGGCAGTACAGCGTCGTCTTAAGGCTGTTATTAAAACATATTATTACCACACAAATTACCTTTGCTGTTACTGTAATTATTATTAATCATAATAATGACAATTATAATATATACAAAATAATTTGGATAGCTATTTTCGAAATGGTCGTTAAATGCGATAATCGTTTAGCTTTTAATATTCAGTAACATTTCGGTTATTTTACACTGCTGGTAACCTATGTAAATTTTTAGCGTCACGTTTTACTCCTGTGTTTTTTTATAACTTGACCTAGACCTTTGATTTGTGGCGGCTTTATCTTGTTGTCTTCGGTATTTAATACAATGAACTGCATACGTTTAACGCATTAAATATGTGTAGTACGTACCGTGTAATAGCTATGATATTCAGTCTCTGGAGATTTCTATCAGTTTGTTTGTTGTATACCAAATTAATTTATTTCTATTAAACTTGTTAACTTGAGATTTTGCTGATGTTGAAACGACTGCATACCTACCTATTGAATCTTCATGGCTGCCTATTTAGTTGTAGGAACAACTCACGGAGAACAACAAACCGAATATTCACATTCATAGTTTACCTCGTGTCTTTAATAAAACTCATAATTCATTTCTCAACAAGTAATATTATATATATTTACATTTTTTTGAGACCATCTAATATGCACTAAACTAGGTTTCAGTGTTTGGTGAATAGGTCATAAAACAACCGTCACCGCTTATTGTGCCTACTCGACCGATAGGTGAAAATTGTAAACACAGCCATAACACACTATCAGTGAAATTTTATTGTAACTTTATTACTGTTTACTTAAATTTTTTCAATGCGTGTTTCTTACGAGAATTAACGTAAAATATGTATGTATATACATTTTCTCAAGGTTTATTTCCACTTATTCATCCGATAATCAAACTAAAATAGCAAACTATTTTTAAAAAAAATTGTTGACATAAACATGGTCACGTGTTACTGTGCGTATATTTGTAACCTCTTTTTAAATGCCAATCATGAATTTTTATGAATGACGATTAAAAAAAAAAGGGTTAAAAGTGAATTAATCATATGAAAATGGTGGTCTTCGATTATAAATTGTTATACCTATAGATAATCTATTTATAGATTTAAAAACAGAAAAATAATAGATTATATTTTACTTTCATAAAATTCGTAGATTTCCTTTTTAATGCATTTGGTGTGTTCCTCTACTTGTATCTGATGATGGCCCAAAAAGGTCGAAACGCGTAATGTCATTAGGAACAAAATGCTAAAACATTTCATCTGTACTGCTATCTCTTGAATCCTAGTTAATCGAACGTGTCGTTCAGAGCGGTGAAGCTCGCCATCGACATCGGCGATCCATCGGTCTGAGAAAAAAGAAATCCCTCGGTTTCCTCTACATGCTGTGCGTTTTAGGAATACTTGGGTAAAATGGAGATCGCGAGTCCATTGTACCCAAGTGGCTCCGATTCCTACAGTACGTAGGAGGACACCGTGACTTTTGCGAGAAAACTATCCGTATTATTTGGATTTCTTTTTTCCCTGTTTGTATATCGGTCACTCGAGTGCGCGTTGAGATGATGAGTGAGAAGGAGAAATCGAGACCCGTTATGGCCCTGGACCCAGCTTTAAAAGCTTGTGTTGTCCGCCTTTATGAGGGTAACGGTTTTTATGGCATTTGTATCCTATACTGGCATCTGATGAGGCCCAACAAGGCCGAAACGCGTCATACAATGAGGAACACATGTGCTATGCGCGCGGAAAAATATGTAAAATCGTTCATTACCGCCCTTTTAGAGGTGATTGTTTACTTACAAATGTAACAAACATAAGAGAAGAGGGTCAGAAGAAACAATTATTTGGTTTTATAACCCGATGTTTCGACGCATTATAATCGAAATCCATCACTAGGAGCCAAAACATTTGCTAAAATTCTTATAGTAAGTACTTAAAGGTTTACACGCTATGTCCCCTTTAAGAGGTGATTGTTAATGTTAAATGTGACAATCATAAGAGAAGAGGGGTAAAGCGAATTTTTGGTTTTTAACCCGATATTTCGATGTACTGTCATAATCGAAATCATCACTAGGGGCCAAAACAAATGACATGTGAATCATATAATGATCTATTCTACCTCCTATAACGACTAACGAGTAAAACGTGTACGTGAGATGTTTATTTTTTGTGTCCAATTTTTTATTGAAAATGGTATGTATTAACCCCCATTATATTTTGTTCGTAGGAAAATGCTGAAACGACACCGGCTCCAGTCGAAGAGACCAAGGAACCCGCTAAGGCCGACGAAGAGAAACCCACGGAAGCCGTGGCTCCGTTAGCCGAAACCAATGGCGAATTGGACACCACTGCCGACGAATCCGTAAAGAGTCCCACAGACGAATCGGCCACACCCGATGCACCGGCGTCTGCTGAAAAGAAACGTAAGAAGAAAAAGACATGGTCGTTCAGGAGCATCAGTTTTTCGAAAAAGGACAAATCCAAGCCTGCCGTCAAAGAACAACCGGCTGCCGACGTGAAAACCGATACAGTACCAGAGGTAAGTGAAAATATTTCACCAAAATGTTGATATCGATACACTTCTGGGATTTATTTTACATAATAATTCCCTAAAACTACCGGAAGTTATGATTTATTTTGGGGTGGAGGGTTGCAACTATCAACATTTTTTCGAAACAAATCTAGGTATTTTTTAAACGCCCCCTTAACGTGGCGCGTTGAACTGTATACAACGTTTTCCGTCCTTTAACAAGAAAGTAACGTGACTTTACTTTTGACAAATTTGACGTAGGTTCGCCGTTATTTATGAGTAACCTCTATATTCAATACTTTCTTGACAGCACTGACGTGAAAATCCCTGATGAGATTAAATCTATTTGGGTCGAAGCCAACACTGACGGTAGTTTTTTTTTTTTTAAATTAATAAAGTTCGCTGGCAGAAGATAATAAATATACCTACCGACTATCCCGGCGGGAATTGTATTATTTTTATTGATATTTAATACCTATATTTGTGTTATCATCGAGTACACCCGAGTATTGGACGTTTTGGAATCTCACCAATTTTCGCAGCTAACCCTCCTGGTTAAAAGCATTTCGGTCCCCCGACGATTTTCCAAATAATTGAACTTTAATATGGAGACTCAGGATCACAACCTCGTACCGTCGTGAATCTATTCTGCTACATTTCTTTAATCACTATTATTATTATTATTATTTGTGGTGTGGACAGTAGCGTGGTGGTCACAAAAGCAATCGTGAAACCTTGAACCTAACAGCTGAGGACGTTGACTCGTTTCGAACACCCGCCGATGCATGATAGCCCTATATATCGGCGGCAGTTCCTCTAATAATGTTCCACGCCATAACGCGTGTCGATAGTCACGAATTTTAACAGTGTTTTAATTTTTTTCTTATTATTATTATTATTATTGCCGACGGAGGAGGGAGGATGAGTGTGTTATATGTGCCACGCGCTACAAGAATTAATCATGTTTTGGCTCCTTTTATATATATTAAAAAAAAGACAACAATAGGCGTTTGAAAATTGTCAGCGTAAACAATAACTACAAAAAAGCATACATACACATACCTCTTTGATGATTATTATAACACTCGCTTATTATATTGCGCGCGTGGACGTATTTTCAGGTGGTTTTTCTTCTTATCCAATACAATATGCGCGACACGACTTTTGTCTACCACAGGAAACAGTATAAGGCGAATAATTCTGTGTATTTGCCACCCGTTTTCCTCCTCTTCGAAGGTATTTCTAATCATCGGTAAACCACACCTCGGCAGGCATTCGAAAAATGTCCCATTATTTTACTATTGACCCGTCCTTTGTAGTGGCTTCGGTGCGCTCATCTCTCGATTGTAAATTTCTAAGGTACACAGCAGCAGTTTTTTCTGGCGGTTGTATATGTTTTAATAAAAATCTTATGAAGAAAAAACTTATCTATAATGGAGTGCACTTTGTGTATAATTGCTTCCTTTTACTACTTCATTCAAAACTGCAGCAAGTTTGTTGAGAGAAAAAAAAACTGAGAGTCGACCCAACGCACGTCCCATTTAACTCAAGTGTTTACGAACCCTGTTGATAGAATAAAGAGTCCCCCTGCACTAGTATAAAACATAAAACGTTTTCCTAATGATGCACTTCTCCTGTGAACAATCATTTTAAGTACCATAATGTCAATAGAGTTCCGGGGAAAGCGTTATCACGTTTTTCAAATTATTCTTTTTATTATTATACGCCGAAATATCGTTTCGAGTTTCAGGAATAAACTAAATTTCTCGTGTTATAAATAAAACAAATGCAGTTGTTTCCACTTGACTTTGGCGAGACGTGTCTTGATTAATAGTTTAACGCATACGTCAAAGTCAAGTTTCTTTCCGCTGGTTGTGCGTGCATAAGTGTATGGGAAAAGTTCCGGGCGGGAAAAAGGGATCGTCTCTCCCGGTAATGGTAATGGTGGCCCGGTGTTTTCCTAACCTCAAAAGAAAAAGGAAGGAAGAAAAAACCGTAAGGAAGTAATTGCGGCCACGTGAACCGAATCTCCTCTCCCTCGCTAAACAAATAATATACTGTTACGAGAATCCACTAGACCGGTTAAAAGTTAAAAGAGTTGGGTTTGTTGTTGCACGACCCTTGGATATTGTAAAAAAAAAACCATCATAAAAAAAATTAAATGACTTGGGGCGGAATAGCCACGAGACGCCCGCGATCGATCCGGTTGAGAACTGTCGCGACGCCCCTGGTACCCATGGCAACAAAAGGCGGCAGCCAAGCTGTGCTTTGTGGAGGTAACGTGTCTGCTCACCGGCCGGCTACCGCCCGAAACTGAATATACAAATGTATATGGTGTTATCTATATTTGTATATATGTTAGTGTGTGTGAGTTTAGATTTATGTATATGTCGCCCACGTAGTCTCCACAAAGGCCGGCGGTGTGTATTGCTGCAAACCGCCAGCTGGCCAGTTGTGAGTGTTCATTATTATTGAATTAATTGTGTATTTCCAGAGCGAGTGCTCACACTGACCGGAAGTTGTGTGTAGGTTTACACGCACAACCAAATTCTAGTATTTTCCGTGTCCCCCCGGGAAGTTATATATATTACCCGTTTTTTAAATATAATATCTATAGTTAAAGCCTAAACCTAATAAAGCTGCTGTGTCCTTCCCATTGGCATATTATTTAAAAGAAAAAGCAAACCAAACCATTGCTTCTTAGTTCTTCGCGTGCGTATAGTTAGGTCATTTTTTTTGTTTTGCCTTTTCATTCGGTTTTTTTTTTTTAATCACCTAGAAATTTGATAAATTGTCAAAACACATTGAAAACGCTCTTTATGGATACTATTTCTACGGGTTCCTATTGTCCCATGGAATCGTGTGATGTTTTCACAGTTTCTACATTTGTGTTACCTACTATTGTGTAACGTTCGTTTTTGTTTTATTACCGACTATATTCTCATAGTTATTACACATTTGTACATAATCACGACAGATGTTTCTGGGAATCGAATCTGGGAACCAAAACGCAACACCGCGCACGTACTCAATACAAACACTTGCATTTCGTCGTTGGTTGACTCTAACAGAGTATGTCAAACAACCAATTACGATGTATATGATATATTATATGAATATGATGAAAGATGATATTATTATCAATTAATACAACGGCGCTTATGCCTCAAATAACTCGTGTGCATTGTGCAATCGGGGTTTGTTCAACGTTTGTATTGATTCCAAACGTGTGAAATCATCGACCGATTCGTTGGTTAATTTACATAATTTTTGAGTAAACCTTGTTCGTTTAATGGTCACTGCGCGGTCAATAGGCAACAACTCAATTAAAATAAATTTATCATATTATAATTTTTCTCCTTTTTTTTTTTTTTTTATTGAAATCGAATTATCATAGTACACACGTGGCTATCAGTCGGTGACGCATAAACCGAAAATGTTTCGGTTGATTTTGTATATTTATGAGATAACAAATTCTCTATTTATAAACTGACAACGGACCTTGAACTTCTATATAGTTTTTTTCCAACTAAAATCGCAGTTTCCGAAGCTAATGACGATAAGGAAAATATTTGTATCCCGCGGATTATGAGATGCGTCGATGCATTGGTATGCGCTCGATTTTAGTATTATTATTGTTAACACAATATAATACCGCACCTGATTTAAATTAACATATTTGAAATCCCGCTTGTTGTTGTATTATCCAAGACTGTGTCGACGAATTATCGCTGGTCGATTAAATTATACTGAAACGCAGAGTACGGGCTAATCGATAACAAAACATTCTAATTAAACAGAACCCTTGCGCCTCGCCTAATATTCACGAGAACCACTGTGTAACTTTTTTGTTTGTGTTGGCATAATATTTGCTCTAAGTGATTATGCGAAAAGAAAACAATGTAATATAATATATTATAATCATGTATTCGTGCGTTGTCATTTTTTGTTTAAGTACTGTAATAAAAAAAAAAAAGAAGATAAAGATAAATTTTGATATACTGCCCGGTACATTGTACGAAATAAGCGCCATTATTTTGAATCGCTTCGCCGAAATTATGTTATTTTATTGAGATTTATTTTTCATTATTCATGGTGACCGCATCCAGTATTTTTTGTCAGGACCATACATAATATGATCTAAACAAATTTATTATGTTAACAGGCGACCGTTGAAATGCGTTTGAGATCGCCTAATCGCCAGGATTTCGTCCCATAAATAAAATATTATGTACATTAACCATTATGTGTTTTATCGATACAGCAAACACTCACAAATCGAGCATCCCACGGTCATAAAACAAAATGGGAACAACCCTCGTCCACCGGTCTGCCCAAACGTGTAAATAAACAACGTGGTTAGGAATTCTCCTTTGAACGTTCCAAAACGCGTTTAAAGTGCCCACCGTCATCCTTATTACGAGTCACAATACATAATCGTTACTATGTATAACGATAATAATAATAATTATTGTGTACACTACAGTTAAGCCCTTGTTTGTGTAACGCCGATCAAGTTTCTTCGTACTTCGGATCGGATTACTAATCGATTTTCCTTGGATACCTCTTACCTTGGGATCGTTACGACAAGAATAGTAAATAAATATCCGTTATGTATAACGTTGCGTCTTGAGAACTCACGGCGTGTACTGTACCAACGCCTTGAAAACGTATCGCTCATTTCTGATCAACCCTGCCTCCAAGTACATTTAAGTTATTGTAGATTACCAAAAGTAAATCTCTAATCACACGAAAAGAAACCTTATTCCGGATTATTATTATTATTATTTGCCCGTTATCCGATTTTGTCGTATTTGTGTCTACTGACCTATGTAGGTCGTAGACGACGGTAAAAACAAAGAATCACGGCGGCCCATTATTGTGCATGTACACCGGTTGTAAACACACCGTTATGCACTTGTTGGAAGTAATCCTAAAAATTAGCAGCAGGTATGCACAATACACAAATTATGAAACAACAGAATACTTTCAGTGTAGTGTTGTCAAGT